TAAACTTCCCCTTTTAATAAGGACAGTCACATTGAATTAGCACCGTCCTAATGACTTAATTTTAACTAGACTTCTTCTAGATACGAGGGGTTAGTTAGGACTTTTAGGTACCTTTTGTTGAGAGGGACACAATTTAGCCCATACCAGAATTTGTCAAAACTTACAGAGTAAGCTGGCTTAAAATGCTGTTTCCTGTTATGTATCTATTAGAATACATAATATAGAATATCTATAGAATGATTAAAGCAAAATTTTAAAACATTACAATACTCCATGCTGGCCAGGATGCAGAGTAGCTAGAACTCCCCTGCATTGCTGCTGGGAATGCAAAATGGCTCGACTGCGTTGAAAACCAGTTTGGCGGTTTCTTAAAAAGTTAAACATGAATCTACCATACAACCCAGCAAACTCCACTTCTAGGTATTTATCTAAGAAAAATGAAGGCTTATATTTGTCCAAAAACCTGTATGCAGGTGTCTTTTTGTGGCTTTATTCATCATTGCCCCAAACTGGGAACGACCCCCAAACCTTTGACGGGCGGGTGAACAGACAAAGTGGGGCTCAGTTCCTCATGCTAGAATGCGATTCAGCAATGAAAGGAACAAAGCATCTGCAGCCACACAGACGACCTCAGGTGCTTCGTGCTGAGCGAAAGAAGCCTGTGGTATGAGTCCATCTAGATGACACTCTGAAAAGGCAGGGCTCGAGCGACAGGTGCTGTGTGGAGTCTGGGGTCAGAAGAGGGCTGCGAAGGGCCATGAGGAAATGTAAGGGGCGTTAGAACTGTTCTGTGTCTTGAGTGTTGGAGATGTTGGAGGTGGTTACTTGACCAAATGCACTTGTTAAAGCTCCCAAAACTCTACACTAGAAAGGAGGCATCTTGTCTTACCCATAAATTATACCTCCATTAAAAAAAAACTTTTAAAATGTAATTTCCCTGCAGCCAAGATCTTGCTAGTTATGAAGAAGTGGTGCATAATGGAGATGAAATCGTTTATTCAGAGGACCTGCATTTGGAGGCGCTCAATTGATGTTTCTACAAGGCCAGGGATTCCCAAAGTATCCCCTAAAATGGGGGCCTGCAGAGAGGGACTGGGTGCCCCTTTGATGAGATTAAAGGGCCTCTGGTCAGAGAAGAATGGGACACAGTTTTAAATGTTAATTACAGGCAGACTTCTCAGAGCCTTTGCCAGGATAAAGCTGTTGTGAGTTGCAGAGAACTTGCCCACAAACCCCCAGGCCTAGCCCCGGGGGGTGTTGGTAAAGGTCTGTTTGAGCTGAGTAGGTGTTCAGGGCCCCAGGAGCCGGAACCTCTCGCTGACAAAGCCTTCCTGGGAAGGTGAGCAGGGCAGCGGGGCTGCTGGGTAGGTGTGAGGGGCTCAGGCTTAGGAACAGGGCGAGGCTCTCTGCCGACTGGACCTGGAGCTGAGATTAGGACCTCCCTTCCCTGGGTTGTGGGGAGGAGCAAATTCAGAATGGGAGCGGGCCCCCTTTTGGGGAGCTGGAAGATTTTGGAACCAGATAGAAGTGCTGGTTGCACAACATAGTGAAAGTGCTGAATCCCACAGAAGTGTGTACTTTATAAGGGGTGATTTTATCTTCTGTAGCTTCACCTCAATCAAAAGAAAAACCAGTTCTTACGTTAGCAACCTATTTTACTCACCCTCTCTGAAATAGCTACATGTTACTTCCTCATTTTGGGCTTCCCTGGTGGCTTAGCTGGTAAAGAATCTGCCTGCAATGCAGGAGACCAAGGTTCCATCCTGGGGTCAGAAGATTCCCCTGGAGAAGGGCATGGCAACCCACTCCAGTATTCTTGCCTGGAGAATCCCACGGACAGAGGAGCCTGGTGGGCTCCAGTCCATGGAGCTGCAGAGTTAGACAGGACTGAGCAGCTATCACTTTCACAGATTTACCTCCTCATTTATATACAGGGTAGCAGAGGCTCAGAGAAGTTGACCAACTAGCCAAAGACACAAGCTAAGTGACAGAGTTGGAACAGGAAGCCAAATTTGGGGCTCCAGAGGCAAAGCTCTCCTACACCCCAGTGACCTCCTTGACTGGAAGGGCACCAGCTATGAGGGATCTGTGAGCAGACCAGTTCCAGCCTGGAGATGCCTGGCTCCAGTCCATTGTGACTTTCAGCTCCCCCTCTTCCAGTCCCCGAGCTTCTTCAAGCTGCTAGACCCCAGCCGATCATCTTTCCCTACAGCAACATCGTTGGCTGAGACCCACCTTCAGGACCCCTGTGCAAAGGATTTAGTGTTCTCCCCTGGGCTTGCCATGCTTTCCATGTTTTAATCACGTTGTCCCTACCACGACTATTTCTGCTTTCATAACCTGTGTTGCAACAGAAAGAAGACAGAAGTAACTGTGGATTGGTTCAGAAAATGTCAACTGCCCCTGTTAGAGCAGCTGGGAGATTCTGATTACTTCTGGGTGCTGAATTCTTGTGAACATCAAGAGGGTAGAGGCTGGGGAGGATAGAGGTATCAGAGTTGCAAATTCAACTCACCGTCTTTGCAGGTGACAAGGAAATTCAGGAGAATGGACACACGAACCTCCCTGAATGATCTGAGCTCCTGCACCCTCAGCCCCACCCCAGTCTCACCGCTGTGTTTCTATTTCAGACATCTTGTGGGTGGTGGAGCAATGCAGGTGTGGTCGGAACCCACTGGACGCTGAGGCAATTAGAAAGCCGTGGTGTGACCGTGCCGGCTCTCCCAGGCTCTCTGAGCTTCAGTTTCCTTATCTGTATAACACTTGACGTAATGACCCCTGCCTGCTATCGCGGTTACATGTAAAAGGAGAGATGGTGTGTGCCCAGTGCTGGCCCCTAACAGCATTTCTGCTGGGAGAGCAGCTGGGAAGCCCTGTGGTGGTCCTGATGTGGATGATGGTGCCTTAAGGAGATGGGGGGAAGAGGACGACCGGGAGAGATGTAGGAACAGGTGGACAGAGTGGAGATGGGGGGAGAGGGGTCACGGGGACGCCTGATTTCCAGGTTGGCGTCTGAGTGGGTGATGGTGCCGCTCTTTGCAGAGGAGAGCAGTTTGGGGAACAAACTTTGTGAACTTGGCTTTCTGTGTGCAGAGTGACGGTTGTGTCTTTGCATCTGGGACTGAGGGAAAGGGGAGCAGGCTGGAGATGTGAGCATTAGAAATGTTGTAAGTGGGTGCTGTCACCCCAGGGGTCCACCCAGCCCAGTCCATGCACCTCCCACCACACCTTAATCCTGGCCAACCCTCTCTGCCACCTTCTGCTTTACCCCTCCTGGCCACTGGAGTGACCAGGAGAGGTCACATGCCATGGAGGTCACATTTTATTCTGGGGGCAGCAGGAACCCACAAAGGGAAGGAAGAGGGGACCCTGGTCTGGCTTGAGGAGCTAAAAGCAAAACCCGGTTCCCCCAAATCCACATGCTCAGGGCCACCCTGGGGGTAGGGACAGGAAGGCTGGGGACCCCTGGGGAGGAAGTCACTGGCTGAGCCCGGCTGATCTGTGCGAAATCAGAAAGCACAAGCCTCCTCGTGGGATTAGAGTGACCTGTTCTCTGGAAGCAGCCTGTGAGATGTCAAGCTTCCTGCCACCTGGTGGCCTCTGTGACCAAGCCGCTCTTAGCAAGGGGCGCCCCCTGCGTGCTCACCTGCAAGTTGAGGAGCTCACTCCCTGTACTCGGGTCGCCCACTCCCCGGGAAGCCCCACGAGTCCGCTCCTGTTTGCAGACGGCCCTTCTTCCTTGCCCCTCCCTCCCCTCCTGCAGCGAAGCCTCGGAACAACCACCGTAATCATCACAGGATGTTCCCAGTGCGGTCATCTGGCTTGCACTTCCAGACTGTACCGCATACACGATGCCTGGACACTGGTGAGGTCCCAGCACAGGGTCCACACCGCGGGCAGCTGGGGCAGTTCCGAGTCCTCCCACAACCTCGGTCCAAGCTCCAGTCCCCTCCGCACCTGCGGGCTGGCTTCAAGTTGCTGGCACAGTGCATCTCCTCTGCCACCTTCCTGAGTCAGGTTTGCCGCATCCTCTTAAAGGGCCAGCCTCTCCAACAGAATGAGTGCAGTGCCGTGTAGGTGACAGGAGAGGTTCTCAAGGGTAATGTTGAGCCTCCTGCCTTTGTCCTGTGTGTAAGCAAGCATGGAACGCACCTCTGCTTCCTTGCAGGGCTTAGTCTCAACCACATCCCTGATGTACAGGTGAGAAGGACCCGAAACTCAGAGAGCAATGCCAGGGACTCCGGAGCTGCAGCCTTGGCCACAGCCCCCAGTGCAGAGCAGGGTGGCCACACCAAGGAGGGTGCCCACCCAGGCACCCCCCTCTGCACTGGCTGAGGGAGGAGGCGGCTCCGCATGGGGCCGTTGAAGGGCAGTTTGATGCCACAAGTTTGGTCAAGAGGATTAACAGTTCCAAAATGCGTGTATGGTGAGCCCAGGTTTGCATGTGTTGGTAGTTTAGGAAAGACACATTTGCAGCTTCTAATGCGTGGGCCACTCCACAGCCTCATGCTGAAGACCCTCACCCCTGAGATACAGCAGCTCTCTTTCTTAGCCAACAAGACATGGTGTTGAAAGACCGGAACTTCCTGCTGTCCTTTCACACCACCCCAGGACAACTTAGGGCGGTACCCCAACCCCATGTGCCTACCACCATGCTTCCATCTCTGATCCCCCACTGTCACTCCACAAAAGCACCAGGATCTTCTCTAGTCATGACTTGCCAACTGCCTAAGCTTGCCCTCATGTGTCACTTGGAATGAGAGGCACCAACCACAGTGTTTCTCTCTCTCTCAGGTCAGGTCTGGAGGTCGGACGCAATAACAACCATGGGGGACAGCTCTGCTCCCCAAGGACTGAGGCTCCTTCTGGCTTCCTCCTCCATCCTCTGTAGGGTGTGGCCTTTGCCCTCATGTCCCCAAGATGGTTGCCAGAGTTCCACCCATCATATTCCAATTCCAGGCAGCAGGATTGAGTAAGTGAAGAAGAAAAGAGGCAAGAGGGACAAACCAATTATCCTTTATGATAAAGAGTTCTGGAAGCAGCTTCTGCTTTTATCCCATTGGTCAGAACTTAGCCACAGAGCCATATATCACAGCAAAGGAGGCTGGGAAACAGAGTATGTTGGGAGCTGTGGCCAGCTAGAAGTTGGTTTCCATTATCATGGTAGAAAGAGAGCAGATGAAAGGGGCAGTCAGCAATTTTTGCCCTTCCCGGGATCTGGGGTCAGGACAGGAAAGCAGACGGCGTCCCTCCCCACTGTGGCCCCAGCACTTCCCCCCCAGGCGAGGGAAGTGGGCAGTTTCCAATGCCCACACAGCAGATCTGCAGGAAGCAGGCAGCAGAGTCCCCGAGGATAAAGGGGACCCACTTCCCCACCTCCACACACTCCGACACTCCTCCAGACAGGAAAACATGGCTTTGAGGAAGCCCCTAGCATGTCTTCCTTGATGGCAGGCGTTACGAGGCGGCGGCCAGGCCACAGCACGCTGTGTGCCACTTGCACAGCATTTGTGGGGTGCCCAGCACATGCCAGGAACACACAAGGGCAAAGATGCCCCGCCTCCCACTAGGGCCATGAGACCACACATCACCTCCAGGCCCCACGTGCCTGACCCACACCAACTCCGGCCACCAGGGGGCGTGGTCAATCCCCAGGACTCCCCATAGGGGGACCCTGGAAGTGAGGGCTGATGACCCAGCTCACAGGGGATGCTCTTCCGTTTCTCTGTTTTCTTTTCTTTTCTTTTTTTTCTGTCTTGATGAGAAGAATGACTGATGCTTATGCAATCCTAATGCAAATGGAACCTCAGCTTTTGGATTTCCAGTTTACATGGCTGGTTTCATTCACCCTGACAATTCTGTCTTGTTCTCAAGAGTTAGCAATGTTTTCCTCTCTGCATTGTTGGGATGTTGAGAGGGACCAGAGAACGCAGTGGGAGATGGGTAGGTCATGGAAGTGGAAGCGCATTCTTGTGTTTCCCTGGGAGCCCATGATTGCAGTGACCAGTGGCACTCTGGAGTCTGGCCAAGGCTTGTGGGACAAGAAGGTTAACTGTGTATCAAACCAGCCTGACCCACAGAATCCAGATGTCTGGTCAAACGCCAATCTCAGTATTGCAAGGGAGGTATTTTTTAGATGAGATTAACTTTTAAATCAGTAAGTAGACTTTGAGTAAAGCAGATGAGCCTCCATAATGTGGGTGGGCCCTGTCCAATCAGTTGAAGGCAGATTAAACAAACTGAGGTCCCAGGAGGGAACCTCTGAAGAGGGAACTCGGCTCCAGATGCCCCTCACACTCCAGGCTGAAGCATCAACTATCCCCCCGGGTCTCCAGCCAGCCCTGCAGACTTGCAGGCTCCCACAACCACATGAGCGCATTTCTTCCAGTAAATATCAGTCTCTCTCTTTTGTGTAGACTCCGTGTTTTGTATAGACTCCCATACAGACACACTTACACACTCACAGATATACACATACATCCTCTTCTGGTTCTCTTTCTCTGGAGAACCTCAGCTAGTACATGGGTGTTGGAGAGACATTCTTTCCTGCCTCTTGCCAGGAGCTGTTCAGGTAAGAAGTCACTGACCTGGGGGTGTGACCCTAGTGTCCCAGCCCCTACAGAAGGTGCCCCCAGAGCAGGAACCACTGAGTGGGGTGATCCAGGGAAGAGCACCCATGAGTGGGAATGGCCCCAAAAGGCTTGAGGTCTCTGGGAAGGGACCTGATGCTCCCTAGGCAGCCCTCTTCTGAAGATGGTTGGTGAGAAGGTTGGTGAGGCAGCCACCAGACCTATGCATAGGGCTGCAGGAAGCATACATGGGGCGGGCTGCCCCCTGAAGCGTCCCTGGCAGAGTCCCCGTCTCTCAAGTCCAGCTTTGGGGCAGAGATACCCCGGTACCCAAGACATTCTCCCCACCTGCTCTGCCTGCCACCATCTTCACTTTGGTCTTCTTGGCCTCTTCGCGCTGCCGCCCTGGCGCTTGCAGGGGTGGCTAGGAGGCAGTGGGCTATGATGTCGGCCTCCACTGTCCGTAGACCCTGGGTGGGGGAGGAGGGGGAAGACTTCATTATTGTTTTATTTGAAATACAACTTTATTCTGATTCTAAATGAAAAGGAATGGGAATGACAGTAACAAACAAGACGGTACCTCTCAATATTGTCAAGTGACTACAGTAGTCTTATATTTGAAGCTCAAGGAGGAAACAACGTGCTCCAAAACACCTAAATACACAGGTCCAAAAAACGAAGGTAGGCACTAGGAAGACTTTAGAGCAAAGTCAGAGTCCCAGCTAGGGTGGCTGACTGGTCCCTGCTGGGGTGGACGCCCTGGCCGTGGCCTCAATCTCTTGCCAGACTCAGTTCAAGACCAGTGTGGACCTTTCTTCCCCCTCCAGCCCTGCCCACGCCCCAGACAACCTCTGGGCCCTGTGGACGTCCCCTCCCAGACCTGGGGCCTCGTTTCCAAGTCTGCCCTGGCCTCCGCTCCTCCCATAACCCAGGCCTGTCCCTAGGACCCCTTCAGCCAAATTCTCCACTACGGTGAACTCACACCATTAGGACAAGGGAATCCCTGTGGACTATTTCCCATCCCTCACGTTTAAAGAAACATTGTTTATATCCACTGTGGACGACTGGCTGTGACTCAGCCTGCTCTGGCCTGAGAGCTTTTGGCTCCAAGGTTGTGGCCAGTAAACACCTTTGACACCATTTCCCCCAGAACACTGAAACAGAAGGGCATGAGCGGAGCGGTCGTTAATCTTTTCTGAATCACTAACGTAAAGGTACAGGAAGAAGACGAGGGTTAGCCATGAGGAACTTCCTGCCTAGGACCAGCAGCTCCTGGTGGTCTTTAAGCTGAGTGCTGATTTATACACATCCTTACAGACAACGTGGTTGTGTGTTGGGTCAGTGGTGAGAAAACAGTGCCAGGATGTCAGGGAGATTCCTGTTCCCAGAAAGGATTCAGGTCACACGGGCCTCAGAAGATGGCACAAGGATGACATGAACATGAGTGCTAATGTGACTTAAACCATCTCTGGGATTGATGAGATACCCAGACACATGGGCATTCTTGCTCAAGATATAAAAACAAAACAATAAAGGAAGGAGGAGAGGAAGAAGTGGAGGGCCATTAGCACAGTGACAAATATGTGTCTTGTGTTTTATGGTTAATACACAGAACAAGCAATATTATAGTAAACTCATAATTTCATGATAGGGCTAGTAAATGTGGAAAATTACAAATATTCTGGTAAGAGGTTTGGCTAGAAGTTAAATAAAGCTGCTTTTGAGTGAGTGAAAGAATAAGGATGCATGATTTGGGGCAGTTTCTAGCTATTTAGTTGCTAAGTTGTGTTGGACTCTGCGTCCCCATGGACTGCAGCGCACCAGGTCCTGTGTCCGTGGGATCTCCCAAGCAAGAATACTGGCATGAGTTGCCATTTCCTTCTCCAGGGGATCTTTCTGACCCAGGGATCAAACTCATGTCTTCTGCTTGGTGGGCGAATTCTTTACCACTGAGCCACATGGGAAGCCCTTAAGTCCACGTAAGTTGTCAGGGGCCAAAAAGGCTACTGAGGTGAGACAAGTCATGTGGAAGGTACGTGCGCTGCTGTCCTTCCAAGACGAGGGGATATGCAATGAACACGCATGTCTGAGAAGCGTGGGGACTGCTGTCACGGCCTCCTCATCTGGAGGCGTGCGTGATATTGGTCAACTCTGACTACAGGTACATTCTGTATGCCACCTCAGGTGAGGAGAAGTATGGTGAGCTCTCATGTCTAAAGTACACATGCACTGCTGTTCTGGTGAGGGGGCATGTGGTAAAAGGTCACGTGTGTGGTTCACGTGCAATGCTGAGCCTCCTCAGGCGAGGGGAGGTGTCATGAGTGGTCAAGTCTGACTTACTCGCACTGCTGTCAGAGCTCCACAGTTGACAGGAGGTACCTGTGAGGTGCATGTACATACTGTATGGCCTCCTCAAAAAGGAGACACGTGGTGACTGGTCATGACAAAGGGATATGTGCACTGATTATCACAGACTAGCACTTCAAGGGGAGGATGGTATCAGACAACCTTGAAGTAAGTGAACATGCTGTAACAGACTCCTCAGGTGGGGAGACACATGATGACTGGTCATAATTGAGGGATATGTGCACTGTTGTCACAGCCTCCACAGGCGAAGGGGCCTGTACTGTTAGTCCACCTAAGGTGAATGTACAAGCTCTGTCAGCCTCAAGTGAGGAGACATGCAGCGACTCATCATATCTGAGGAAAATGTGCAATTCTGCGAAAGCTTCCTCAGGTGAGAAGTGTGGAGATTGGTCAGGTCTGAAGTAAATGTGTATATGTCACAGCCTCCAAAGGTGAGGAAATCTGTGATATTGGTCTGACTAAGGTAAATGTGCAAGTTCTCTCTGCCTCCTCAAGTGAGGAGACACGTGCTGACTGGTCATGCATGAAGAACATGTGCAGTTCTCTCACAGCCTCCTCAGGTGAGAAGACATGTGATGTTTGGTTAGCTCTGAGGTAAATAAATGTACTTCTGTAACAGACTCACTGGGTGAAGAAGCCTTTTATATCCATCTGGTCTGAGGTAAACGTGCACACTGTCACAGCCTCCTTAAATGAGGAAAGACATGGTGACTCATCATGTGTGAGCTATGTGCAATGCTGTAATTGCCTTCTTAGGTGAGGAATCTTGTGATATGGGCCATGTCTGAGGTAAACATGCATATTCTCTAAGCCTGCTCAGGTGAGGAGACACATGGTGACTGGTCACATTTGAGAAGCATAGGCTATTCTGTCCCAGCCTCCTCAGGTGAGGAGACTCACAGTAACCGGTAACACTGGAAGAACATGCGCAGTTCAGTAATAGCCTCCTCAGGGGAGGGGCCTGCGGTACCGCTCCAATGAGGTATATGTACCTGCTCTCTCAGACTCCTCAAGTGAGGAGCAGTTTAATGACTGGTCACGTTTGAAGAGGCCTTCCCTGGTGGCTCAGTGGTAAAGAATCTGCTTACAATACAGGAGTCACAGAAGATGCAAGTTCAATCCCTGGGTCAGAAAGATCCCCCAGAGGCGGGCACAGCAACCCACCCCAGTTGTTCTTGCCTGGAGAATTGCATGGACAGAGGAGCCTGGTGTGCTACAGGCTATAGCGTCACACAGGGTTGGACGCTACTGAAGCGACTCAGCACGCACACACGGAGGCATGCACGCTCACACTTTGGAAGAACACGTTCGGTTCTGTCAGAGCCTCCTCAGGTGAGGAGATAGGTGGTGACTGGTCACATTTCAGGAACACATCCAATTCAGTAATGGCTCCCACCGGCAAGGAGACCTGTGGTATTGGTCAAATCTGAGGGAAATGCCCATACTGTCGTCATCTCTTAAGGGGGGAGACCTGTGGTGACTCGTCACATGTGACCTACATGCAATGCTGTCACAGCCTTGGCAGGTAAGGGATATTTTTATATGAATCACTTCTCAGGTTAACGTGCATGTTCTCTCACCCTCCTCAAGTGAAGAGAACACGTGGTGACTGGTCCTGTTTGAGGAACACATCCCATTCATTAATAGCCTCCTCTGCTGAGAGAAACTGTGGTATGATTCCTGCTTGAGCTAAATGTACATACTGTCACAGACTCCTCAGGTGAGGAGACACATGGTGACTGGGCACATGTGAGATACGTGCACTGCTCTCACAGCCTCCTGAGGTGAAAAGCTTTCTACATCATTTTTTTCTGAGGTAAAGCGTGCATGCTGCCACGACTCCCTTAGGTGAGGAGACACTGGAGACTCATCACATGTTAACTGCACGTGTAATGCTGTAACGACCTCCTCACGTGAGGACAGTCATGGTGACTGATCATGTCTGAGAATTATGTGCAATGCTCTAACAGTCTCATCACGTGAGGAAGATTTTCATACCCGTCACTTCTGAGGTAAATGTGATTGCTGTTCACAGCCTCCTCGGGTGGGGAGACATGTGACTGGGCACCTTTGAGGATTATTTGCACTGTTCTCACAGCCTGCTCAGGTGAAAAGCCTTTTATATTGGTCAGGTCTGAGTAAAGGTGCGCATGCTGTCATAGTCTCCTCAGGGGAAATAACCTTTTATATTCATCTGGTCTGAGGTAAATGTGCATGCTGTGACAGCCTCCTTAAATAGGAGACACATGTGACTCATCAGATGTGAGCTACTCATGAAATACTGCTCAGGTGAGGAGAGCTGGCAACCGGTCCTGTCTGAGAGTCAGGTGCAATGCTCTGAGCCTCCTCGGGCAAAGAAAGCTCTTGATATCAATCACATTCGAGCTTCCCACGCCTTCTGTCACACCCTTCTGAAGTGAGACGTGTGGTCACTGGTCACTTCTGAAGGACACACACACGCTGTCACAGCCTCCTTAAGTGATGGGCCCTGCGGTATCTGTCACGTCTGAGCTACAGCTGTACTCTGTCACAGTCAGGCGAGAGGACTTTATTAAGTGGTCACACCTGTGGACACACTCACTGCTGTCTCAGCCTTCACAGGCGAAGGGGCGTGTCGCATCCATCCTATCTGATGGATGGGCGCGCAGTGTCACGCCAGCTCCACTGAGAGGACCTGTCTGAGCTGCCCTGTTGGAGGTACTCAAGCACCCCTGTCACTGCTCTCCTGGTGACGGGATGTGTGGTGATCACTCACATCTTAGGTACACATGCTGACTGTCACAGCCTCCTCATGTTAGGAGACAAGGTGACTGGTCACGTCTAAGAGGCAGGTGTGCTGCTATCAGCCTCCTGCATGGAAGCTGTGTGTGTTATCGGTCACGTGAGGTACATGTTCACGCTGTCACAGCAGTTCAGGTGAGGGGGCGTCAGGGAGCTGTCAGGTTGGAGGTACTCATGTACCGACGTCACAGCTCCACTGGTGAGGGGGCGTATAGTATAGGCCATGGCATGGTGACTGACCACATCTGAGGGCCACAGCACACTCCCACGGCCTCCTCAGGTGAAGAAGCGGAGGCACATGTGCACTCTTTCTCAGCCTCCCCAGACGAGGGGGTGTGTGGTGAGCTGTCACGTCTGAGGTACAGCTGCGATGCGGTCACACCTTCTCAGCGGAAGGTACCTGTGGTATTGGTTATGTCTGAGGTACACATGCAGTGTGGTCTCCACCTCCTCACGTGAGCAGCTGAGGTGAGTGCTCACGTCTTAGGTATAAGTGTCTTGGTGTCCCAGCTCTCACAGTTGAGTGCCGTGTGTTGACAGGTTAGGTCAGATCTGAAGTTCAGGAACAGTGATGCCACAGCCCCACCAGTGACAGGGTGTGTGATGAGCAGTCACGTCTGAGGTACTCACGCTCTGACAGATGAGAGCATGTGTGTCTGGGAGAGGTAGGCACTGACCTCGGATGTCCCGGGGCAGGAGGGGCGCCCTGCTCGGGCCTGGGCAGCTCTGCCAGGTGGCACTGGGAAAGGTGAAGCTGACCTCCGGCACGTGCAGTGTGCTTTCATCTAAACAGTGAACCAGAGAGGAGAGAATATCATTATTTTCAGGGACCACCCAGTGAATCCTGGGAATAAACTAAATAAGGAGGGTCTGATGCACTGTATTCAGACTCTCTATGTGCTGGCTGTTCACTGAAGTTACCTCATTTTTTTTCTCCCAGAGCTCTGTGAGGGGTTGTGTTTTCCATGAGCTCCTGAGCTCAAGACTTTCTGGAATTTCCCCCTCTGGTTTGTGGCTCCTCCCTATTCTCCTCAACCACACTCTTCCTTCCTCTCTCTGTTCCCTCCTTGCTCTTAGCTGACCTTGACTTGGCTGTGAGAGGATTCTCTGGGTTCACTGAAAGATTTAATCATATGTCATCATCAAACAGGAAAGGAGCAAGGAAGGTGTGGTGGGGAGATAAGGGGTCTCTCCTAGGGTCGAGTCAGGTGCCCACTTCCCCAGGTCTCTGCTCATGGTTACCCCTACTCACTCGTTCATTCATCTGTCCATTTTGCTGCTATTTATTGAGAACCTGTTGTAATTATTGGGCACAAAGCAGTGACTGAGATCCACCATCATCCCTGTGCTCACGGAGCCTAGCACATAGGATGAGCTCAGTAAATGTGAACGCTTGTTATGTAGCGATACAGGTCAGTGCTCCCAACCATCCATGGTGAGGACTAGCTTGCTTGTCTGCTTCTCAGCCTATATGGGACTGAGAATTTTGCAAATATAACCAAAGCAAATTACTAGGAAGACTGAATGAAAAATTTCTTAAAGACAGAATCTAGGCCATTGATGACAAGCTGTGGTTCGGTCGGATCTGACTGCCACGTTCTTTTCTAAACCCTTGACCTCAACTTCCGCGCTCCTCTGATGGCAGGTCAGTAACAGCTGGCAACCCCTCTGGGGAGGGCTGTCATCCACCAACCTGTCCCCACAACTGTGATAAACTGGACACAACCCTGACATCCCATAACAGGGGACATATGTTCATGTTCCTGAGCACCCCATGAGGAAGGCATCTTACAGAGATCATTCCTGGGTGGTGGGGTTTACAAGTGGCTTCTCCTTTATTTATGATGTTATCTATATTCCAAAGTTTTCATGATGAGTACTTATTATTTTTGTAGTAAGAACCACCGCAGGAGGTGGGACTCAAACCAGCACTGAGAGAACCCACAGGGGCCCAGGGTGCAGACTGAGTAAAGGCGATTAGCCGTATGCGCACACACTGAGTCATCGCCTCAAACTCTACTGGGGCACGAGGCAGGCCAGCCGCAAAGCTGAGCACACCGCCCAATACATCTTTTCAAAGAGCCAGTGGCTGTGGCTGGCCCGCTGCCTAAGGAAACCTGAAACTCACTCACACCAAGGAGCAGACAACTGATAACAGCCCAGACTGTCACACCTGCCAAACATTTGAGAGGAGGGGCAGAGGTGCAGAAAAGAACCCAACTTGCTATTTTCCTTTTTCGATCACATACCTGCATGAAAACCGAGGCTGGGTTTCATCTTAGAGGCTGAAGGGACAGCAGGGAGAAAGCTCTTTCCCGGAGACTTTGACAGCTGAGGGAGTGCAGGGGGAGGCTGGCTCTCGGCTATGTGATCCGTGGCAGGTGGCTGAAGTTTTTCTGTTGCCTGTGGGGGGAAATATGACCAATATGGGGAGCAGGTAGAGAAGGAATGAAATGTCAAGGTCACTTTGAGCTGCAGCCATACACTGATTAAACACCCACTCTGCGCCAGCTATGTGGGTATCTTAGTGAACACAATGGGCAGAATCACTGCTAACATTCTCTTTCAACCACCACCAAGAATGAATGAATGATTGATGATGTCCTGGGTTTTTGTCCCCGGGCTTTTCCCTTTTCAACCACATGCCCCCATGGAAGGGGTTCGCATCTAAACCACTGTGATGGTTACCGTTTAAACCCATCAACCAAGTAAAGCAGATGGCTCTCTCTAATGGGGTGGGCTTCATCCAATCAGTTGACAGCCTGAATAGAACAAAAGGGCTGACTCTCCCATGAGTCAGAGAGATGCCCTCTCTGACAACCTTTAGCTGGGACATCAGCGTTTTCCTGCTTTTGGACTTGAACAGAAACTTTGGCTCTGGTAGCTGGCATGTGTGTTTGTATGGTGGTGGGGGTGGGGTGAACATACACACACACACATTCTTTTGGTCCTATTTCTCAGGATAACCCTGACCACTACACCCACCTTCTGCTCCTTGCTACTGTCTCACTTCTGTTCCACTGAAGGGTCACCAGAGCCATTTCTATTTGAATTAGCAAATGCCCACTGTGTGTCCAGCAGGACTCAGGGTCTCACCAGCAGGGGCAGAGTGGAGCTCTGGCAGCCCTCTGGCCACCAGCAACGCCCCAGGAGTAGCCTGCCCCCTTAGGCTCACTCGGTTTACTTAACCAAGTGGATGGTGAGAGACAAGCCCCTGGGCTTCATTTGCACCCAGGGAATCCGCGCCCCAACCCCCCATGCGACTGTCATTCCACACCACTGTGGTCACTTGAACTCTTCCACATGCTCTCTGCTTTTGCTTAATCCTATTTGTTGAGGCTTTGCCACAGGTGTTCACTGCCTAATATCCCAAGAAATTAACTCAACATGAAGAAATCTGTTCCCATAGAGATGCATAAGCATCATGCATGATGGTCAAAGATGAAAGACAGGGACTTCCCTGGTGATCCAGTGATTAAGACTCCGTGCTCCCAATGTGGGAGTTACAGGTTCAATCCCTGGTTGGGGAGCTAACATCCCACACGCTGTGCGGCATGACCAAAAAAAAAGAAAGAAAGAAAGACAACCTGTGTGGCCATTTAACAGGGAACAGAAACCCACAAAGTGGCCACAACGGAATCATGTGTGTCTAGTCATCCCTCTGCAGATATGACAGAGGGCCGGTTGCCAGGCTTGGGGAGGAAAGACATCTCCTGGTCATTAATGCATAGCAACTCATCTCTCACCAACTGTTATTTATCTGACGTGGTTTAGAATCAACTAAGTATTAGTTGCTCAGTCGTGTCCGACTCTTTACAATCCCACAGACTGTAACCCGCCAGACTCCTCTGTCCATTGAATTCTCCAGGTCAGAATACTGGAGTGGGTAGCCACTTCCTTCTCCAAAGAATCTTCCTGACTCAGGGAACCAACCCAGGTCTCCTGCATTGCAGGTGGATTCTTTACCATCTAAGCCACCAGGGAATCCACAAGAATCAAGTCATGTGCCTTTTATAAAGTGCAAATACTAGGTAGGCACATGAAAATTCATTAAATAATGTTAGGGAAAAAGACCCAGACCACAAAACTGTGTTTCCCTAGGACGATGACCACACGCGATGTGCACACATGTGGCTTCAGGTCAGGAGGAAGGGACAAGGTCACAGTGATGCGGGGGCGGTCTGGTTCTCTTCTCTCCCCGGTGTGTTTCCCCCCCCCACCGTGATTGTGTTGAGGTCAGTCCTGCTGTCCCCCTCCTCTGCTCTGGGTGAACCCCTGGGGCCAGCACCCCCAGGGCCCTGTCCACCTACCAGCTGGACGCTCCTGGTGAGGGGGGGTGATGGCTTCCCCCTGGCCTTCCTCTCTGCAGAGCGAGCCCTGCCCGGGCTGGCTCGCGGCCACTTCCTGTCGGTCGGGGTTGTCTCCGGGGTGACTCTGGGCTTGGGGTCCTTGGGGTCTGGAGCTGCCTCCTCTGCAGGGTGGAGGGAGGAGCGGCCACTGCCGCCCTCGCGGTCCTGCGCCCTGGAGCGCCGGGTGGCCGCGATGAGGGCGATGCTCTTGGTGCCTATGGCCATCTCCTTGAGGGCCTGGGTGCTCAGCCCGGCCTCCGCCGCTGTCCTCGGGGTGGGGGTGCCTGGCTCCCAGCCGGCCGGGGAGCACAGCTTGGAGATCAGTGTCTTCATGCTCTGGGAGCTCGGCTTCTGTGGGGAACGTTGCAGCGGCGGACTGTCAGCGGCCCCAGGTTGGGCCCAGCAGCAGACCCAGCGACAGGGGTCACGAGTGGTCACCTGGCTTCTCTGGGTCTCATTTCCTGTTTATAAAGTGAGGATGACACCCACTCCTGCCGTGCACAGCTGGGGGAGTGTCTGTAGTGGGTTGGTCAATGGTGACCCCAAGTCCATGTCCACCTTGGACCCCCGAGTGAGACCTTTGGATTGAGTGTGGGTCTTGGATCCCCAGAGGGGTGTCCTTACAAGAAGGGAGACACAGAGCCACAGAGGGAGGAGGCCGTAAAGACATGCAGACGTGAGGGAGGCCGCCCAGGAGCCTGGGGTCCCCAGGGGCTGGACGAGGCCGGAGGGACCCTCCTCTGGAGCCGGTGGAGGGAGCGCAGTCCTGGGACACCTGGCCTTGGACTTCCAGCCCCAGAAGTGGGAGAGAATAAATGTCTGAGCTTTAAGCCTCCTGATCTGTAGTGTTTTGGCCTAGATGCTTCAAACCCTAACGCGGTGGGTGACACTAGCTGGGCTCAATACATGTTCACCACTGTTGTGATGGCTGCTTCAGGACAACCTGCATTCTGGAAGCTTCTCTCACGCTCACCCTGGGCCAGCACTGACAGGCCCCCAAGCACCCCATCGGGCTGGGGAGCCTCACTAGAGCTTTGGGCCCATTCGCACCGCACACACCAACCTCATGAGCCGGCGGGCTCAGCAGAATGTGGAGCGAGGAGTGGGGGAGGAGGGAGTCTTTCTTGTCCAGCTTTTTCAATGGTGTGGCTTTCGATGACCTGTAACTGTCACTGTGGATAAAACATAGAGGTCTCAGCAGGGCTGGGGCTGGGGTCCCGGGTCCTTCATCCAGTCTCCAGGGCTGTGAGAGAATAATTTCTGTTGTTTAAGTCCCCTGGTCTGTGGCGTCTGGTTACTGCAGCCCAAGCTGAGGTGGCGACACACACATGGGGGAACATTAGCCATTAAACCAGGTGGTGAGTATGCAGTCTTCAGTCTACAAGTCTGAGTCTGAGTGTGTTGGAGACACCGGAGGAAAAGAAAGAAGAACAGAAAAGAGGAGGAAAGCACTGAGGTTGGGAGCAGCTGGCTGATGGTGAAAAGAAACCACATGTGAAGTGCAGCTGGTCTTTCTAGCATCAAAGAACCCAATCTCACAATCGGTCCGTGTGGTGCGTACCCACACTTATTCCCCTTAAACAGCTCTGCAGGGACTGGGCATTAGCCTTGCTTCACAAGATGTGCCCAGGGTCACACGTCAGCAGCTCTGGCTGGATATCCTCCTGCCAGCCTCCAGTTCCTCATCTGGGCTCCACCTCACCCTGGGAACCAGGTGATGCCCATGGCCTGGAAAGGGGGGCCTTGTCACCTGTCCGGATCCAGCAGCGTGGGAGGCAGCTCAAACTGGGCGCCCCACGGGAGGTCCTCCCTGTCGTCCAGCTGGTCTCGGCTGGGCTCCTCTGACGGGGGACAGATGTTCAGAACAGAGCCGTCCTGGGACCAGACAGAGGGCGGGGTGAGGTGGCAGGGACCATAGACACGAGAGGGCTGTGTCGTCAAGCAGGGCCCTAGGAGCCAGCACCTCTGGAAGGAATCACGGGCTCCTCCACTGCGCCTCCCATCACAGGCAGAAAGGGTCGGAGCCCAGGAAGCACCGGGCACAGCCTTGACCCTGAGCAAATCGGTGCATAAAGGAGATGCTGTTACCAGCACTCTCGATAGCCGGCAGGGCCTCAGAAAGTCAGACAGAATCACCATACACAGGATCCAGCAATCCCACTGCCAGGGGCGTCACCAAAAGAACTGCAAGCAGGACACAAACAGATGTGTGTGCACCCACTTTGAGAGCAGCCCTATTCACAACAACCAAAAGGTGGAACAACCCGAGTGTCCGTCGATGGGAGATGGGTAAGCACAGTGTGCTCCATCCACACACAGGCTGTGATTCAGCCTCAACACAGAAGGGAACGCTGACAGCTGCCACAGCACGGATGGACCGTGAGGACGTGATGCTCAGTGGGATAAGCAGACGCCGAAGGACAGACACTGTGCGACTCCACTTCTGTGAGGTCCCCGGGGGAGTCAGGGTCACGGAGAGAGGAAGTAAGGGGTGGAGGCCAGGGACAGGGAGGATGGAGAATCAGTGTTTGTCGAGTCTAGGTGGTACAACGGCCTTTCTGAGTTCTGCGAGTCCTTCCAGTGAACTGAGCCTGGGGGTGGGGCGCTCTTGGGGACCTGACACTTACCCTAGGATCCCACGAGGGATCCTCACAACAGCCCAGGGGACGGACCTGCCGTGGGAGCAGCACACGGGCCCCCTCCCCCAAGGGGCGCCTCGTCTGAAACCTGCCTGGATCCTGGCGGTGGCACGGCCCCATCCAGCCCAGCCCCAGGTGCCTCTGGCTCTAGGCACCTGGTTCGTGGGGTTTCTGAGTTCCCTCTCTCTCCACTGGGGCCAGTGCCCCCCAGGGCTAGCGCACAGGCCAGGCAGGAGGGGACCGTGTCAAGCACAGCCCAAACCCGAAGCCGACTCACGCGCAGGGAGCTGGCCATCACGGCATGCAGCAGCAGCAGGCGGTTCAGCGTGCCCGCGCCCAGCTCCCGGGAGAACAGACGGTACTGCTGCTCCAGGGCCTCCGGCACCACCAGGCCGCTGTCTGCGGGAGTCGGGGAAGCAGAGATGGCGAAACGTCCATCACTGGTTAGACAGTTTCTTTTTTGGAAGTTTGAAGGCAATGCTCCAATCTAATAAAAAGATTTTTCTACAGAGTGGGGTTTCTGTAGGTCGTCTTCTTTGCGTTCCTATTTTTAAAGTTTTCTGTTATGTTCATGTATTGCCTTCCAATCATAAAATCATATCATTAGCAATTCTAAAGGATAAATAAACTTCAATTTAAAAGTTAAAGAGCAGGAGTTCCCCAGTGGTCTAGTGCAGTGAGGCCAAAAAGAAAAAACACTGAAGAACATCCCTAGGGCTTCTCTGCTGGCTCAGTGGTAAAGAATGGGCCTGCCAACGCAGGAAGTCTGGGTCTGATCCCTGATCTGGGAAGATCCCACGTGCCGCGGAACAACTGAGCCCGTGCGCCACAAGTACTGAAGTCCACGTGCCCTAGAGCCCACCCAGGCTCTGAACCGAGAGAAGCCGCCGCGGTGAGAAGCCCGCTCACCGCAACGAGAGAAAAGCCCTTGCGGCACAAGGACCCAGCAGTCAGAAGCAAATGAACGACAACAACGACAGAACCACTCGCAAGGTGTACACCCAGGACTGAGGGCAGGGAGCGGAGGGCGGGGACAGGGCTGGGGACGGGGCCTCCCGGCCTGCCGTGCGGGCTGTGACTTTCTGGGGACACACGCACTGCCCACTCTTTCCAGAAAAGTGTTAGTCGCTCAGTCGTGTCCAACTCTGTGCGAGCCCATGGACAGCAGCCCGCCAGGCTCCTCTGTCCGTGGGATTCTCCAGGCAAGAGGACGGGAGTGGGCTGCCGTCTCCTTCTCCGGGGGACCTTCCCGACCCAGGACCCAGGGCTGAAGCTCCCGGGGGCTGCCCTTCCCAGAAGGCAGCCCCAACGAGACGGGGGCCGGGCAGGGGCGGCGGGCGGGGCCTCACCCTGGATCAGCCGCCGCTGCGCCCGGATGACCCGCTCGCACAGCAGCCGGTGCTGCTGGTAGCGCTGGATCAGGAAGTCCTTCTGGCGCAGCAGGCTCCTCCCGCGCAGGCGCTGGGCCTGCAGCTCCGCGTTCTCCACCTCCAGCTCGTGCGCCCGGCGCAGCAGCCTCAGCGCTTCCCGCTGGTCCTCGCCGGTGGCCTGCGCGGGCAGCAGCTCCTCCAGCTGCGAGGCCTTCTTCTTGGCGCTGGCCAGACGCTGCTCCAGGCCCGCCTGGCGGAGAGACCGAGGGCTCAGGGCAGAGGCCCGGGGTCTCTGCTGTCAAGTCCGCTCGTCCTTACAGACTCTGGTTTGCAATCACACTCACAGAAACACACGGGATTGACTGTGAGGACGTGCCCCGCATTAAGCGTGTCCTTCATTTCCTGTTCTGATGCTGTCGCATCTGGGGACGCTGCTGACTCTGTAGGGACAGCTCCCTCAGAACAGCCGAGTCCGACAGACAGCAAACAGCTTGCCCTCAGGCACATCTTTCATGTGCAAAGCAGCCAACCCAGAGCCCAAACCCTTCCCTCTCCTCCGCGGGGTTCCACAGTCTGGATTTATGCATTTGGATGCTCCGAGTTCTTGGTTGCAGCGTGCGGGATCTAGTTCCCCGACCAGAGAATTGAACCCCAGCCCTCTGCATTGGGAGTGTGGCATCTTAGCCACTAGACCACCAGGGAAGTCCCTTGCCTGGCACTTTAGGACAGATGCCAGGGCTTGGCCCTCACCACAGCGTCTGCTGCGGGACGCCGAGGCTGCCTGTTTTCATGCTGTGACGCTGCTGTGAGCTGGCCCTGGTCGTCACGGAGAAGGCTCTGAAGGCATGTCTCTACAGCCTCTGTGCTAGAGACCTCTTCTCTGAACGCTTACTTCCCCGGTGGCTCAGAGGGGAAAGCGTCTGCCTGCAATGCAGGAGACCTGGGTTCGATCCCTGGGTCAGGAAGATCCTCTGGAGAAGGAAATGGCAGCCCACTCCAGTACTCTTGCCTGGAGAATCCCACGGACGGAGGAGCCTGGTGAGCTACTGTCCATGGGATCGCAAACAGTCAGACACGACTGAGCGACTTCACTTTATCTGAAAGTGAGGTCCTGGTTCTCTTGGGCCAAAGCCAGATTTAAGAAGGAGCAGAAAGACGGGAGGCCTGGCTCGTCCACTGCAGCCCTGGGCACTGCTGCCCTCTTGCAGAAAGTCAGCGGAGGGGGGCAGGTGGGGGGACTGTGAGGTCTGCCTGAGACCCTTGATCTTACTCTGTGGGTGAGTCAGGGCTCCAGAAAACAGAACAATATTTATACATGTTTGTGTATATATATGTGTTTACATGTTTGCATGTATATAAATACATATATACACATTTATGTACATGTTTGTATGTATATGTATACACACACACACACATATATATACATGCACACACTTACATAGAGGGGCACGGCAACCCACTCCATTAGCTTTGCCTGGAGAATCCCATGGACAGAGGCTGGCAGGCTACAGTCTACAGGGTCACAAAGTTGGACACGACTGAAGCAACTTAGATGAGATGGTTGGATGGCATCACCGACTCAATGGAGATGAGTTTGGGTAAACTCTGGGAGTTGGTGATGGACAGGGAGGCCTGGCGTGCTGCAGTCCATGGGATCGCAAAGAGTCGGACATTTACTGAGTGACTGAACTGAACTGAAGCAACTTAGCACACAGCACATACATATATATATATATATATATATATATACACACATAGACTCACACAGAGATTTTTTTGGGGGGGCCAAGCTGCAAAGTATATGGGATCTTAGATTTCCAACCAGGGATTGAATCCATGCCCCCTGAAATGGAAGCATGGAATCTTAACCACTGGGCCGCCAGGAAAGTTCCCACAGAGATTTATTTTAAAAAACTGGGACTGGTGTGTCCAAAACCCATCAGGCAGGCCAACTGGCTGGAAACTCAGTCAGGAGCCAGTGGTGCGGTCTTGAGGCAGAATCATCTCTTCTCTAGAATCCTGTGTTTTGCTGGTAAGACCTTTCAGTGGACTGCATGAGGCCCAGCCACTCTATCTGGGGTAATCTTTACTTACAGTCAACTGACTGCAGATGTTCACCTCACCTACCAAATACCTTCACTCAGTCGCGTCTGACTCCTTTTCGACCCTGTTACAGTATAACCTGCCAGGCTCCTCCAACCTTGCAGTTCTCCACGCACAAATACTAGGGTGGGTAGCCAATCCCTTCCAGGGATCTTCCCGACCCAGGGATCAAACCTGGGTCTCCTGCATTGCAGGTGGGTTCTTTACCTTCTGAGCCACCACGGAAGCCCAAATACCTTCACAGTAGCACCTATATGAGCATTTATTCGATCGGATCCCTGGGTATGGCAGTCTGGCCACGCTGACACCTGAAACCATCACCACACCTCATAGCTCCATCCAGTCCCCCAGATAGTAACGCTCAGGCTGAAGCTGCCTGCATCCCATCCTCAAACTCATGGTCCCTAGGGGCAGGTGGGACACCAGCCTTCTGTGTCTTCATCCTCAGGGCCCGAGAAGGGACCTCTTTGGGAGAAGCTGGCTCAGCTGCCCTAGCAAGATCCTCCTCTCTTCCTTCCAGACCCATGCCCCCGAATCAACAGCCCCTCCGCCAGCTCCCCAGCACCCTGCTCCTACATCTATTATCCTGCTACCATACTGAACTGTACACAGTTGTGTCTCTTCCCAGTAGACCGACAGCTTAAGTCTTAGTATCTTGTTCATCTTTATGGCCTCAGGGCCTGGCACGGAGCTGGACACTTAAAACGTTGATTTGTTATTGACTGATCGACCAATTAATTAATTCATCAGTAGGCCCACATGTACACGGCACAGCTCAGTGTCTATACTTGGCTCTCGGAGGCCGTGTTCCCTGATGAGGCACGTTATCTGTTTAAGAAGAAGGCGTTTTTCTTATTTTTAAATGTTAGAGAACTTTTGCAGTGAGATCATGTAATCTCCAAATTGCAACAGGCAGATGCAATAATATTAAGAGGTTCTTGGTTTGGCAAATAACTTTTAAGTGAAATAAATGCTGCCTGCTTTTAGCAACATGACATCATCAGATGCCTTCTCCGCTTGCCTGAAAATACACCTGCTAACATTTAACTAATGGGCTGAAATAGTAGCCAGCTTCACTGGCATTTTCCCCAAAGTCTCCATAGACGCCAGTTCTGTCATTTTTCTGAAGTGAGACTATTAGATAACCAGCTATTATATAAATAGCTCATATAAATAGCCGGCTCTTCTCAGAAAAGAGGACTGTGAGGAGAGTTCTCTCTCCGGAGAGGAGCCTGGAGTCTGGGCTTCCTCTGACCACACTCCTCGTCCCTGAGCCACGGGCTTGAGACCAGCCTCGGGGGAGCCTGAGGGGACGCCGACGGACAGCGGCACAGACGGGCAGGCAGAGGGCTTGGGAGACATCACACCGCCACTCAGGCCTCGCTTCCACAGCCCCCTGTGACCCCCAGTGTAGCCACAACCATAGATCGAAAGGGCATGGACTCAGGTCAGGTCCTGCTCTCTGGGGCTGGGGGACAATCCTGCTCATCTCCGAGCCTCAGTTTCCCCACCTGTAGGATGGTCGTGATCAGCCCTACTCTGAACGACTATCCCAGGAGGGCGTGGTGCATCAGCTGCAATCAAAGAGCGTTAGCGACTCTCAGCACCCCGGCTGAGCCCGTGGACATGCCGTCTCTCCCGCACCTTGAGGGCGGCAGTTTTCCGCTGCTCGGCCAGGAGCATGTTGACCTCCTCCCTGGCCAGGGCCACCTCATGCGGCTCTGCAGGCTGGCCCTCGTCCCCTTCTGGGCCGGCCTCCAGCACCTCCTCATCCTTCTCGGGCGTCCTGGCCCTGCGCGTCACATGGTGGGTCTTTTCCCGCTCCCAGCTGCAGCCACACAGAGGGGTCAGGGGTCAGAGTGCAGGCCACGCCCAAGCTGGGGGCCCTGGCATCTGGCCCTGGAGTCCCTGTGAGTCCAAGCTGGCAGGTGTGGGCGTGAAAATGGGAAAGAATTGGGTCTGCTATCTGATGCCTTCTACATATATGGAAAACAAAAGTCTTAAGAAACGTTGGAAGGAAGGAAAGAAGCAGTCAACATTCGTGGCAGGACTGCCAAGTGCAGAACTCAGCAGCCAGCCCAGCGTGCCTCCAACCCCAGGGCTGTCAGGGTGACCACAGGCCCCCTGCCACAGCTCTTCAGCTATAAACCTTGGAGACTACAGCACCCCCAGGGCTCCGTGAGGACGGGCTGGGATGACCCAGCTCAGGCGACACCTCCAAAGGGGCACACAGGGTGCCAGAAACGGAACCTGAACTACAAGGAGAGTGGAAACTGTGAGGAAGGAGGACGCAGAGGGGGCGAGGGCAGAGACAGAGGAATCCGTCCAGTGCAGGTGGGCTGTCTGCCTAACTAAGAAACTGCACAGGAAGGGAGGACGAGGAGGAGAAATGGGGAGGACCAGAGAAGAAGCGGACTCAGGGCACGGCGCCGGGGCCCGTCAGCGGGTGGACACATGTCCAGGTTGTCCAGGGCAGTCCCACTGACACCATCGCCCGGGCGGGATGGCTAATACAGCACCTCCTCGCCCTCCAGTGACCCTGGTCTGGATGAACACCTGCATGGCCAGTCCCTTTCCACACAGCCAGTCACTCACAGTAGGTGTGAACCGCGAGTGAGACTGGAACGGTAGAAAGACCCCAGCAAGGGGACACAGCCTCCACATTCCGTCTGACCTCAGCATCCTCGCTGTAAAATGGGGTTGAGCCTAACCTGTTGGGACTGGGCCTGCAGCAGGAAGCCAAAGCGGCCTGGGAGGCTCTCCCGCTGGCCCAGCTTAGCCACAGGGAGGGAGATGAAGGAAGGGAGGATGCCCGTGGCGGAAGTCCCCCTGGGGCTGGCTCACTCGGCGATGGTCAGCAGGTGGCGGGACGTGTCCACATGCAGCTCAATGTTGGTGTTCTCCAGCTCCACCAGGCTGCGCTGCATCTCCAGCTGCTCCTTGAAGGCCCCGATGAGCTGCGCCCGGATCCTGTTCATCTTCAGGCGGCTGTCCTCCTCTGCGTCGGGGGCAGGGATGGTGGCTGGGGCAGGAAGAGAGCCAGCTGCACCTGGCCATTCAGGCCAGGGTCGAATCCATGCTTGCCCAGCAGCGTAGGATCTGGCCCAAAGAGGGGCTTTAAACACAGTGCGTATGGAGGGCAGACAAAGCAGGGACGCTGGATGGGTAGATGGGCTGGTGAATGGATGGCTGAATGCTTGGATAGACGGATGGAAGCATGGATGGGTGGATGATGGATGGATGGATTAATGGATGGGTGGATGGGTAGATGATGGGTGGATGGGTGGATGATGGATGGATGACAGATGGATGGATAGATGGATGGGCGGATGATGAGTGGATGGATGGGTGGATGGATAAATGGGTGGATGACAGATGAATGGATGGATGGATGGGTGATGAACGGATGGATGGATGGATGGATGGATGGATACTTGGATGGATAACTTAGGGTGATTTAGACTCTCCATTTGCCTGTTTTGGGCTCGGGTTGCATGGGTTTGAGTCTCAGGAATCCCAGGAGTGGGGCTAGGTTATCCATCTCAGCTTCAACCTCTCTTTCTCCGAGAAATGCCCCCAGACTCTCAATCTGGGTCCGTCTGCCACTTGCTCTGATAACATCCTGCCTTCTCCTTGGCAGTCTCCTGTGTATCCATAATTTGGTGGTATATTCAACACCTGCTTTTCCTGCTAGAATGTGAGTTCCACAGAACAAAACTATTTGTTTCCCGTGGCCAGTTCCTACCGAGCAGTTGTGCAGTGGTTAATCCACGGTTTTCTCTGCCTGTTCCAGCAGTTAGCTCTACCCCTGACCTTGAGGGCAGTGGTCAGGGGGTAGCTTTTCCCTGAACATCAAGCAATCTGGAATTGGTGAAATAAATTGTGATGCACTCAGATGACCAAATCATTGCAGTCATTAAAACAAAGCACACAGAATCTTAGGAGACGCTCGTAAAGGAAGGATCCTGGGAGAGCATGGACATCAGCATCCCACTGCTGCCCTAGGCTCGCCAGAGCAGGACCCAAGGGAAGCCCCTCATGCCCTCACCATGAGACCCCCCCACTCTCTCCGTGACGCTGCCCACCTCCTCAGACCACCAAGCTGAGTCCCGGTAACTAACAGACCAGCAGGATGAGAACTATTTTACAGCATGTCTCCCTGTTGACCCCTGACTCCAGACAAGCCCAAGTTTCCCAGTCATCACCTGGTTTTATAGATTCTCTACAACAACTGATTGGCCACTGCCACCAGTCCCTGAAGCCCTGGGTTGGCCCCATGGGACTCTGCCTTGTCAACAACAGCCCCTCTTCTTTGAAATCTTCCTTCACTATCTCGCTCCAACAGAAACTCAAAGCCCCAAATCTACCAAAGGGAAAAAGGCACTCAGTGGGCAACGGGGTTACGTGACTAGAGAGCCCAAAGTGCTCATCAGAAGGGGCAGGACAAGCAGACTCTAGTATGGACATTCCCGCCCTCTATTATCCATTTAATACTGCTTGACATTTTAATGTTAGACAGTCCGATAAGTGAAAACAGTTCCAATCTGCGTCTCTGTTTCCTAATGCAATTGAGAAATTTTTCCTATGTTTACACCACTAGAGACTCTCTCCAGTGCCTATTCATTTACTCACCCGTATCTGTAAACTGGGCTGTTTGTTCTTTCTTGTGTGTGTGTGTGCTCAGTTATGTCCACCTCTTTACGGCTTCAGGGACTGTAGCCTGCCAAGCTCCTCCACCCAATGGAATTTTCTAGGCAAGACACTGGAGTGGGTTGCCATTTCCTACTCCAGATCTTCCCGACCCAGGGATCAAACCTGAGTCTTTTGCATCTCCTGCATGGGCAGGCAGATTCTTTACCACTCCACCACCTGGGAAGCCCTTCGTTATTGTTCTTACTGATTTTCAAAAGTCCTCTATTTACTATGGCAAAGCTTATCTTAATAAGCGAAAAGAAGCGTGTCTGTACACACCCGTCTACTTAACTTCATCACAAGTATTTTTTTTAAGGGCATCTTTTAAACTTACTGATGAATCTTAGAGTAAAACTATGGTATGCTCCCCTCCAAAAGGAGGCCTCCGAGATCAAACCGGTTTGGGGAGAAGGAAGGACTGGACAGCAGCTGCCTGGTGCGTGTGGGTTTCACTTCGGGGCAGAAACAATCCAGAGTAAGACAAGAGGGGGAGGCTGCCCCACACAGTGGGCATGCCGAATGCCAGTGGATGAAGCATTTGATTTAAGGGGTGGGACGCTCAGCAAGGACCTCGCGCCAGGCAGGCGGAGGCCTTGGGCTCGGGGCAGCCCCACGCAGGGGGCGCAGGTGTGCTGGCCCTACCTTGAGCATCCCGGCCGCCAGGCTCGCCCCTCCGCTCCCTCTCCTGCCTCTCCACCTTGGCCTTGAGGCGCTGGATCTGCCCGCGCAGGTCGGAGATGACGTCCATGTACTGCGCGATGTGGTAGGACACGCTCAGCAGGTTACGCTTGACCTGGTGGCCGGACGCGACCAAGGTCAGGGCCCGCGGCTGCCCTGGGAGAGGCTCCTTTCATGCGAAACGCAAGCACGTTTCGCAAGGAAAACTCAAATCAGCACTCTTCAGCCTTAAAAGGGAAGGCTGGAGGCTTAAAAGAGAAGGCTCCAACACCTGCTACCACATGGGTGGACCCTGAGGACACGACGAAAAATGAAATAAGTCAGACCCAGAAGGGAGACACTGCAGGACCCACGTGTGAGGTCCTCGGAGGAGTCGGGTTCACAGGAAGGGGGAGGGTGGGGGTCACGGGTTGGGGGAGGGGAGAGGGGGTTACTATTTAATGGGAACAGAGCTTCAGTTTGGGGAGATGAAATGAGTTCTGGAGATGACGGTGGTGATAGGTGTACAACAAAGTGATGTACCTAATGCCACCAAACTGTGGATTTTATGTTATGTACATTTTACCATAATTTAAAAAAGATACAGTCCAACAAGAGGTTTGTGAAAGCCCTCTCTGTGGGTAGCCACTGCTACCATTTTGGGGTGCCCCTTCTAGACCCTTTTCTGTGTGGTGCTATATGTCCATGTGTACACATGCCTAGAGAGATGCACGTGGGGAGTGCAGGGGTGTACGTTCTGCTCTGGGGCCTTTACGTAAGTGACATCAGACTGTAGCTGCTATTCTCTGACTTGCTTTTCTGGTCCAACCATGTGTCTTAGAGGCTGTCTGTCTGCATGGGCTCCACCCGTGCTCTGTAGCGGCTGCAGAGTGGGCTGGAGCGGGGGACACGGGGAGCTGTCCTGACCTCCTCCCGGGCACACAGGGCACACGCACTTGCGCTTTAACCAGACGTGCTCAGTGGCCCCCACTCTGCACAGACACACTCTTTATCACCCATAGCTCAGCTCCCCTGCCTGACCCAGTCCTGTTTGGTGAAGACCCCTCTGAATCCGGCCTTCTCTGTTATTCTTCCTCGCAGCGCCCTGAGGCTCTCTTATAGAGCACCCACCACAACTGGAAATGGTACATTTGTCTGTGCGGGTTCATGTTTCATAGCTGCCTCCCCTCTGCTGGGCTCAGGGTTTGTGTGGGAGCAGAAGCTCCGGTGATGATGATGATGGTTTTATCAAGGCGCCTCCCCCAGAGCCTCAGAGGGAGAGCTGTAGAGTTGGTGAGCAGGTGGGAGAGTGAAAGAGAGGGATGGGGCGAGCGGCTCACCCTCGTCTTGATGTTCTTGGCCCGGTAGGCGTACAGCAGGGTTGTCCGTGACTCCTCGAAGTGAGTGCTGGCTGGGCTGATGTGGGCGATCATCACGGTCCGGCTGTTCCCTCCCAGGGCGTCCTGCCCGGGGCAAGGTGCCAGCTGGGGGTGACGGGAACGGGGGCCCCCACCTGCCTGGTGGTGCCACCCCTCCCCGACCTGTACCAAGCTCTGCTGGACCATCTGGGCTTCCTGCTCCAGAGCCCGAGAAGGGCAGCTGAGCTGGACCAGGAGTCAGTGCTCAGGGAGGTGGCACTCAGGATGAGACAGGACCTGGGCAGGCCTCCCCACCTGCCTTTCACTCAGATGTGAGCACATTAGACCAAGAGGCCACACTTACAGGCCACTTACGCATTGCTTTGCCTATCTGCCTTTCTCGGCCCTGCCTTCCGTAGAATGGAGGTGACAGCATTCAGCTTGGTATGAGTGGTATGAAGTTTTTCATGGTCAGACTGTCTTCCATGGGACAGGCAGCCTCAGTGAGGTAGTGAGCTCTGTATCCCTGGGAGTATGCAAGCATGGGCTAGACTACACTCACAGAGATGGAGGGGAGTCGAGCAGAGAGCAGAGGTGGTTTCTACAGTGTTTTCCTGCCCTCAGGGATTCCTGGAAGGGCTCTTTGGCCCAGGTAAATCCTGAAAGATGCAGTCAGATGCTGCAGCCATGCCTTCGTACCTTCAGCAGACGCGTCAGTTTGCTGTCCCGGAAGTTCACATACTGCGCCCGGCTGCCACCCTTTTCGCTGAGTGCATTGATGCAGTTGCCCAGTGCCAGCAGGGAGCGGTTGATGTGGGCACCCTCCTTCATCCTCTTGCCTTGGTTCTGGGTCTGCATGAAGAGAGGCCGCTGGTGGGGAGGTGGTGCTCACCCTCATCACCCAGGGCAGGTACCAGTCAGCCAGGGGCATCCCTGTTCTCCAGAGTCCACTCCTTGCCCATGCTCAGCCTGTCTCCATGGAAACCACAAGAAAGGTCTGGTCCACGTTTTCCCCTTGTTCTCTCTGCCTCCTGGCTGACCCTGGTGCCTCCCTGTGGGGCACTCATGTCTTCTCATGCCCTCTCCTCTTGGGAATTGTGAGTAACAGACTATTTTTTCAGTGGTAGCTCTCTTCTGACTGTTTGGCCTTACTGGATCTCGAATTCCATTCTGTATTAACACAATACACTGACTCTATTGGCCTCTGGGCCAGCTGGCCAGGCTCTGCTCCTTTCAGCAACCCAGGCACCAGGGCCAGGCCAGGTGACGAGCAGATGAATGAATGAACAAGTGAAGCAATGTAATGGTCAATAAGCCCTGAGGACTCAGCACAGACTGCAAAGTGAAGTGAAGTGAAGTTGCTCAGTCGCGCCCAACTCTTTGCAACCCCATGGACTGTAACCCACCAGGCTCCTCCATTCATGGGATTTTCCAGGCAAGAATACTGGAGTGGGTTGCCATTCCCTTCTCCAGGGGATCTTCCTGACCCAGGGATCGAACTTACCCAGGTCACCCGTAAACTGGACTATAAATATCAGTGGTGAAAGGCAAGGATTGGGGCCAGACCCCTCCAGGCCCAAAGCCCAGATCCATCTAGTAGCTCTGTGTAGGTGAAGTCACACCACCTCGGGTCTCAGCCCTGCATTTGTAAACCGAGCATGAGGCTTTCTGCCCTCTAGGCGTTGGGGGATTATGTGGGTGATGAGTGCTAAGTGCGTTGTTGTATAGTTGTTGAGTCGTGTCTGTTTTGCGACCCCATGGGCTGTAACCCACCAGGCTCCTCCATCCATGGGATTCCCCAGGCAAGCATACTGGAGTGGGCTGCCATTTCCTTCTCCAGTGGACCTTCCCGACCCAGGGATCGAACCCGCTTCTCTTGCACTGGTAGGTGGATTCTTTTACCACTGAGCCACCAGGAAAGACTGGTGCGTTAGAAGGACATAAAATGTCCTTTGTTGGTAACATTACTGTTGTTCTGAGTTGGCCGCCGTCAAGCGTCGTCTCTGTTCCTGGCGCTGGGCTAGGATCTGCCTTCAAAGAAGGCTCCGCCCTGGGGCAGCGGCTGGAACAGCCCTGACCTCCCACAACAGGTACTGCGGTGCGGCGGGTGGGGCGCGGGTGCTGGGCGTGACTGCAGCGGGTGGGCGGGGCTCGGGGCGGGGCGGGCGTGGCCTCTGTGGTGGGCGGGTTGCGAGTGGGCGGGGCCCCGGCGGACATCCCGACAGCCCCCGCGCAGGCACCGCTCTCTCCGCCTGAGGGGCTGCCTCTCACCCACCGAACTCCTGGTGACCTTCCGGGCTCGGCCCTGAGGACCCCCTTCCTCTGGGCTCCACAGCCTCCGTGTAACCCCGAATCTCAAAGCTCGGGCCTCCCGGTGCTTCATTATCAGCTCACACGTCTGTCTCCCGGCCGCCCCCAGGGGCTGTGAGCTCCCCGAGGGCGGGCCGGAGTGTCGCCCGTCCCTGGTGCGCTCAGGCCCTGCCGCGCGGGAAGCCCTTCGAGACGGCCTGGCCCCCTGCGCCTGCCGAGGACGCATTCGCTCGGCGGGCGCCTCCCCTGGGCCGGGCGCTGTTCTAGGTGCTGGAGACGCCGCGGCCTGAGGGGCTGCCTGACGGGGACGGAGAGGACGCGAACCTGGGACGCCCGCTCCGAGCCCGCCAGGTCCACCATGAAGAGCCTGCCGACGCGCACTTCCTCCGCCAGGTGTGCGCCGCGGCCGCGTCGGCGCACGGTGACCTGCAGCACCGCGTGCGAGCGGGACGACGTCTTGTTGGTGGCCGTGGGCTCCTGCGTGCGCTGCCGGTTGCCTTTGGTGAGGAGCTGCATGATCTGAGGACAGTCAGGAGAGGGCAGACGGTCAGGGGCCGCTGGGCGGCCACAGGCTCCCTCCAGAGCAAGAGAAGCGGGGGTGCGTGCGCCCCTCGAGCTCCTTCGGGAGGCTTTTCCCCAGCTGGTTCGCTGATGGTGGCAGAACCGCGTCCAGCAGAGGCCGTTTCTGGCTTGCGGCATGAAGTGATTAATTAACGGAGTCAGCAAGTCCAGCATAAAGGGCACGTGTCAGATCGCTCACACGTTTATCACCCCGTCCACCGCCTCTGCCCATGGCAGACATCACTAGTGCATCACCCAGCTCTTCCCCACTGAGCCCTCTTCCATACCGAGCTCTGGGCAGGTGTAGGATTTGCTGGAGCTGGCAGATGGACTGAAACCCACTTGTGCACGAGTAGCTGTGGAAATTAAGCTAGTGAGCCTCTGCTGCGTACCTACTGTGTGCCAGGCATGCTAGGACCACAGAGCATTGTGGAGAGAGACTGACATGGCCACTGTGCTTAACAAATAGGTGAGCAGGCTCCTCTCCTGTTCCTGGAGCCTATGCGGGACTGTGCTAAGGGTGGGTGGCCTCAGACCTAAGCCAGCATGGTTGAAGACTGGGGGACGAGGAGTCTGTGCTGTTTGCAGGCAATTGGGAGCCACTGAAGGGTCTGAATGGGTGGCAGACCCACCTCAAGGACTGCACAGAGAGACTGGAGGAGAGAGAAAGACAGAGGGCTGGAGAAGTCTTTCCAGCTCACCCTCCTTATGGGAGCAGCCCTTGATATCAGGGTGGCAAATGGATTTCAGACTTGACTGGCTGTGACTGCCTGCAGTGGTGTAGAAAAGGGGTCCCCCACCTCCATCTGAAGCAGAGGGAAGAGTGCGAGGTCCATTGGTGAAGTCTGCCCTGAGCACAGATTAGCAGAGCAGAGACATGGCACAGAAGCTTGCTGCACCCGTAGCTCAGAAGCCGCCTTGGAGCTGTGTGTTTGGCTCTGCTCTGCGAGGCCTGGTGAGTGTGGCTGCCGTGGAGGAGCCACATGTCCCTCTGTGGGCCCCGTGACCCTCACCTCCTGGGCGTTGGAGGTGGAGACCTCTGTGATGCCTGCAATCTGGATACTGCCCCTAGAATCTTCCCGCAGGTCCAGAAACCCCGAGGATGGGCTCAGGAGGTCCCGGATCACTTCGTTATAAATCTGGGATGAGACAGAAGTGCTGGCAGCAGTAGGTTTGGTGCAAAGGAGGCACTGGGGCTTTCACCTATCCCTGGGACTTTGCATCTCCAGAGAATTCTCAGATGCCCTGAAGTTTCCCAGAGGCCAGGGGGGTTTTGGGGTGATACACGGGGGTTTGCAATCACAATCAGGTCTGTTTCGCAGACAGGGCAGCCAAGGGGGTAGGCAGCTCACCTCGAGATAAGACATGGACACGCTGCAGTCCGTGTTGTCACGGGTCTCCTCGATGGCCTGGAAGAGGTCACTGAGCATCTGCAGGTAGATCCCAGGCTCCGTGTCCACGCCTAGCATCGTGTGGGTCTTGCCAGCACCTTCAAGAGGAGGGAAATGCCCACCTAGGCAGGGCTCCTGCACTGGGCTCAGCCCCTCCCAGAGCCTGGTCACACCTTTATCTTGCAAACTGCCCTGGCCACTCTGACATGCTTGGTTTCCATTTTGGAAACAAGAACAAAATTAATGGCTGCTCTGGGGAAGAAGACCTGGGTGGGGAAAACGGAGGACATGAAGCAAAAATGCAGACAGTGTCAGAGGAGGGGGCCTGAGAGATGGCTGTCCTTCTCTCCAAATGCACTTGAAGATGTTTGTGTTGTTCTCGTGACGGGAGCGTTAAAGTGTGTGTTAAACTCTAAGCAGTTACCTTCGGGGATATGTCACCTCCTCTTACCTGTTGGCTCTATGAGAAAGGGCCAGTTGGCACTTCCCCTTCCCTGGAGCCCAGCAAATAGCAGGCGCCCCCTAATGTTTGTTGAATGAATGAATGAAATAAACAAGCTGTGATTTCAGACCAAGGCTTCTCAGTGCCTCAGTTTCCCCGCCTGCACAGGGAGGGGCTTAAGGCCTGTCCAACTCTGACCCTCCATGAACCTAGTTTCCAGGAGGAGAGGCAGCCTAGCTCTATGAGCATTTGCCAACCCCAGCTGGTAACTGCAGAGAAGGAACCTGTGGTTCTCACAGGCAGCAAAGTGTCGGCTTGGACTGAATTTCGGATTCAGTCCTACCTGCTGTGTGACCGCAGGCAAATTCCTGCCTGTCTGAGGCTCAGTTTTCTCATCAGTGACAGGGGGCTCATTCTACCTGCCTTTTGGGGCTGCTGCAAGGACCAAAGAGCCAGGTGCAGAGGGGCCAGCATGTGGCCAGCCCTCAAGAAGGAGGCACTCTGTGACTCTGTGAGGAGTCCCCCCGCCACCGACCTCCCTCCCTCCCAGGACACTGCCCTGGTGGTACCTGAGGGGCCGTAGGCAAACACTGTTGCATTGTACCCAGAAACCACGCCTTCCACTAGTTGCTGGGTGGTGGCCAGGTACACGTCCTCCTGTGGACAGACAGACAGAAGACAGTCAACACACAGGCACCTGGGTGTTTGGAGAGGTGGGGTGTGTGGTGCCTCAAAGGCCCTGCTCCCTCTGGACACAGACAGGCACCCCATGGAGGAGGAGGCCAGTTCAGACGGGGCATGAGCCCCACCCCAGTCCTGCAGCTGCGTGACCACAGACACACTGCCTGGCCTCACCGAGCCCCCCGGAGGAGACCATGGTGAGGGAGCAGAGCATGGGAAAGTAAGTGATAGTGCACGCTGTGAGGCCTGCCAGGTTTGGTTCCAAACAGGTGTGAGTCCTTCCCAGGGTTTCTGTATGAACTGAGAGAAATCAGAGAGTGCCAAGGACTGGGAAGTGCTGACAGGGCTGGAAATCTGGGAAGAGCGTATGGTTCCTCTCGTGGGACAGAACCAGGACCAGGCAGTGAGTTTCAGGGCTGGTGGAATTTAATTCAGGGCAGCAGTGCATAGCTATAGGAGTGTGTGGGTAGTAAGCTCCCTGTCCACAGAGGTATTCAAGGAAGGACACCTTTGGGGCTGGTGTTTGGGGGTGTGGGGGTTGGGCTGGACTGGATAAAAAGGACAGTCCCCCTTCTTCTGTCTTTCCTGAGTGCCGCCCCCCCACCCAGACTCCACTCTGCATCTCTGTCCCAACGTCCCTGGCCAGTGACCCGGCTCAGAGCATCTGAGCCCTGGTAGGACAGAGGCCAAAACAAAAGGTGCCGCTTCCCTCCATCCTTGGACTTAACACAGTCCAGGACTTTGTCCCGGCTCTACAGGTCTCAAGCCACGTGACCTCAGGCCAGTTGCTGACCTCCTTAAGCTTTACCTTCCTTCCCTGAAAAATGGGGATACTATCACCATGTACTTTATAGGGTTGCCCTGACGCTGTAAAACAATGCATGTCAAGCACTTAAGCACAACACTTGACATGAAACAGCTGCTCAATAAATGACAACCACCAGGTCACTTCTACTTTCAATGACGTGAAGGTCTCGGGAGCAGAAGAAACCTGTCTGCTCAGAGAGCTGGGCCTGCCCCGCTGGCTGGGGTGTGAGCCACTGTGGGCAGGGCGTGTGTTCTAGGCTGGTGTGGACCGGACACGTCTTTGTTGGATGGTTGCATGGGTGGCGAGATGGGCACGTGGACATGGAGGGGTGAATGAGAACGCGGTAGAGCTGGGGCACCTGGCGGCCCCGCGTCTGTGGAAGGGGCCTCTTGCCCCCTGCCCCTGGGGTGACCCAGGAACCAACCTCTCTGTCCATCAGGGAGGCCCTGTGAGACGTCACAGGTGAGGCCACCTGGCCAAGTCCTCCCACGTGACGACATCTCGGCGGGCCTGGGCCGGCAGGGTGTGGGGGGTGGGGGGCGGGCACCTGGGACGCGTGCTGGTCGAACACAGCGTCAAAGATGAAGGTCTTCTCCCGGGACCGGTGTGTGCGCAGCGGGTCCTCAGGGTCCTCGCTGGGGTCCATGAGCACCACCATCTAGGAACCGTGAGGGGCGAGGGTCGGCTCCCGGATCAGGGCAGAGGAGCCCAGGCCTGGCTGTCTCCCCTGATGGCATCCAGGGCTCGGCCCGTGGCTGGGAGGGGCTGCAGGTGCCTGTGCTCACCCACAGGCAGCATCCCCACTTCCATCCACCGGTGAGGGTGCAGCGACCCTAAAGCCCTGGCCGTGAGCCCCCCAGGCCTCCCAGGCTCTGCCTCCAGTCCTCATACACCAGCGCCCCCCCAGTGCCTGTCTGTCAGGCCCTGCCCGGATGGCACCCGGACACCAGCGATCAGCCAGACTGGGGCTGAGGGTTAGGGAAGAGTCCCGCCAGCCACAGCGCCCTCAATCGCGCCCTGCAGGTGGGGGACTGGCTTTATGGACGTGGAGCTCAGAGCCAGTGGCGTTGCGCACAACCCTGGGGATGTTTACCTGCCCATTTACCTCTTGCTCAGGGGGCTGCGCCCCCCAGAGGAGAGGGGAGACAGAGGAGTGTGCCACAGAGGAGGAGGACGGGGCCCCCCAAGCTCTGGAGCCCGCCTGTCCCTCTGAGCTCCTCGGTGCCCCTCCCCAGGGCCCCTCCTTTCTCACATAAATACGTAATTATAAAGCAAGGTGTACGAGGCCCCTGGGGACAGGGAGGTTCAAAAGAGCCCTTCCCTGGGCACTGGGGGCAGGGCATCTAGAGACCCACGAGCTGTTTACTCTGGCGCGGGGCCTGGGGTACCCAGGGAGTCTTAGGGGCATGACCATGGGGACCGAGAGCCCCACCCCCTGGCCACCTGCCCGTCTCACCCAGAGATGGCCAGAGCTCTCTGGGAGGAGGTCAGTCCGTCCCCATGATGGGCGACGTGCCAAGATCTGGGGACTGGGGAGACCACGTCGACAGCTACTATGGTTTCTGCCAGTTGTTTGCTTTCCACTTATTCCGAGGGCTGCACCTGCCTCCTCACTCGCGTTGGTTTAGTCAGTGAGGTGCGCACAGTTTAAGCGTAAGGACTTGTCAGCCTGTGGACCCGCAGCCCCGCTGCCCTGGCTCTCGGCTGGCTTTGGGGCCACAATAGCCCTGTCTCTGCAGAGCGCGGGCCCTGGGAATCTGTCCATCTCTGCCACATCCTGGGGAGTCGGCCGCCACGTCCCGCCTCCCAGGGCGGTCCCGTCATAAACTTATTTACATTTGCACTGTCTCCTTGTTAAGACTGTACATGCTCTTCGCGGCTCAGCCGAAACCTTTCCTAGAAGACTGTGTACCCCTCAGTCTAACAGCGGTTTCGTCAGGTCTCCGTGAACTCAGCACTAAGCCACCCCAGCCTCTCTGCAAACCGCCCCAGCACCTTTACACACCCAAAAGTCCCTCCCGGCCTCCTCCCCGCGGTGTCACCCCAGCGTCTCCCTGCTGTCGGCACTGGGCGCCCCCACCCAGGGGGCAGCCTCAGCCGGGTGCCGCGCCCCGCCCCCAGGCTCCTTTGCAAACTCATCCTGGGAACGTCCTGGAACAGCTGCCCGCTGAAGGCAGACGGGGGAATGCAGTTTAGGCACCACGTCTGCTCTTCCCCCGGACTTGGCATTTATTCTGGCTAGTGGTGACCATGGGCCCCGCACCTCGAAACCGCGCTGAGAGCTTGGCTTCTGAGCCGGTGTCCAAGGAGCGGGAATCCTTGACGACGTGGCAGCCAGTGGGCCACCCGCCTACAGTGCGGGGGTCAGTCGCCCGGCCCCTTCACAGCTGCACGGGCAGCCCCCCTGCTAAACCGCAGGCCCTGATGCCCTGTCCCGGCGCCGCCCGCCTGTCTCTGCGTGCTTCTGCGTTTGGGCCTGGAGCAGCCTCTGGACCGCCCTTCCCTGGACCACCGGCTTCTCCCACCTCCACGCCACTCAGAGAGGCTGCTCGTGGCCGCCTCTGGCTGCTTTGCTCTCTGCACTCAGCTCCCCGACCTTGGATTTTTATCTCTTGCTTGACGCCCTGCTCCATTCCCCCCTCCCGGGTAGGAAGGGAGTTGAGTTGGTGGGGTCAGGGGGGCGGAGGGTGGGGGAACCAGGCCCTCGAGTCCCCCGTGGTTCCACCCCAGTGTGTGGAGCACCCGGGGCCACTGTGAGCTCTGATGTGAACTTTTCTGGGAGGGTGGAAGAAGTGAGTGAATGGACGGGAGAGGGGGCCCGAGGTGGGTGACCACGTGCAGGGGTGGGGGTCCCACTCTGCAGCCCTGCGACAGCCTCACCTGGTCCCCCACCTTGTGGGCGATGACGGCGGCCCCTTCCTCCAGTTCTGTGTCGTTGAGCGGGCGGATCCGAAGAGCCACCTGTGGGCAGGACGTCGTTTCAGCTGCCTTCCAGGGACGCAGGGAGGGAGCGCCCCGTCCTTCCAGGCCACAGAGGCCCCGGCCCAGCGCCCACCCCCACCTCGGGTGAGCCTCCCACTCCGGTGAAGCAGTTAAGGCCGCGGAACCCCACCAGGCGCTGACTTCCTCGTCCACGGCTCACAATGGTGCTCAGAGGAGCACTGTGGTCAGGTGACCCTCCTTAGTCTGAACTGGGGAGACTGAGGCACAGACAAGTCTCACACCTCACCCTGGCTTCTTCACCCACTACCCAAGGGACCCGAACCTTCGTGCAGGCTGTGAGCACTTTCAGAGCAAGAATTGGTTTTCTAAGTAGAAAAGCCCTGGGCTCTGCCTCCCACCCTTCTCTGCCCCCCACCCCCCTCCAGCTGGGCTGTGAGGGGGTCCTACAGGAGACCCCCTGGGATCTTGCTGACCCAGGCCCCAGACCTTCCTTGCTCATATGAGCTGTGGGCCCCCAGCAAGCCAGCACCTTGCTCCTGGGCCTCTGCCTTCTCGTCTGTGAGATGGGAAAGTCCCTCCTGGTAGACATGGAGCTGTGCTTCTCCCAGACCCGGGACCGGGACACGACAGGGCTCCTCTACGCTGAGCCTGCAGGTCAGGGCGCGCCCCTGGCCTCCACTCACCCCACTGTCTAATGGACTGAGCCTGCACGTCACCTAGGGGATGGGTCTGGTCAGGCCTCTGGGGCCCTGATGGGGCCAGGTGTAGGGGGTATCCACCCCACTCCATCTGGGGGTCATGGTCCAGGCCCTGAGCTCCCTGGGGAGTGAGGTTCAGAGGGTAAGGGTGAAGGGATGCTGGAGACTCGGGCTGAGGAGCAGGGGGGTCACCAGGTCCTCATGAGGGATGGCTAAGCAGAGCAGGGACAGAGCAGGGCTGAGCAGATGGGGGCCCGGGCTGATGACAGCAGGTCACCGGAGCAGTGGGTCAGGAGGAGGCAGCCCGAGGGCTGTCCCGGCACGCGGGGAGTGCTCACCGTGAGCTGCTGGTCCTTGGGCTCCATCTCCCTCTTGGCTGGGCTGCCCCGGGCCGGGGAGGGGCCCGCAGCAGGGCGGGAGGGCATGGCTGGCTGCGGACAGGAGCTGCCTGCTCCCTGCTATCCTGGCGGGAGACCTGTGAGCCCCGCCCCACGCGTGACGTCACCGGGTCCCTGGGGCCCTGCTCGTCCCTGAGTCTCAGCAGCTCGGGGGACCGCCTCCGTGGTTCTTCGGGGGTCGCCCCTGTGTCGGACACCATGGGCTCCCTGTGGTGTGCCTGCCTGAGAGCCGCACCAGGCTTAGGACCGGAGCTACTCCCCCAAACGGGCTCACGTTCGATGAAATAGTCCCCTGGGAATACTTCCTGCCAAAGGCATGTCCACCGCAACCTTGAAAGGTACCTGCAGCTTTTCTTATTAGGATGTGGTTTTTAAGCCCTTTTCCCACACTGCTTGTCTGCACACACCCAGGGCCCCGCTCCCCTTAACCCTCAGGCGTATTTACTCCTTAAATGCCGCGCCCAACTTTTCCACTGCGGTCTCCAGGGCAGTCACTGCACCATGAACCGTGCCTGCCAGGTGGCGCTGGCCGGCAGCGTGCCAGGTGACGGCAGCAGTGGAGAGCGCACGCTGGTGAAACAACTGCTGCATTTCCATAGACCGCGGAGGCCAGATCCGCGAAGCCGAGGTCTGAGAACTGACTTCAGGGTGGGAAGGGCCCAGGGCCCCTCCACGTGCGGGGCTGGGCCTGGGGTTGGATGACCACGGGGTTGCCTGGCCCAGCAGCATGGACCATCTGCTGTGTACGGGCAGGGCTGTGCTGGTCGCATCCAGGTCAACACTGGGCTCCAGGACTTCTTGCCCATGTGAACGAGCCCCCCTAACATCCATGCTCCCCTGCCCCCTCCCCACCTCTACCCCCCACGAAGGTCCAGCCTGTGACCCCCTGGGAACTTGCTGCAGTCCACGTCACTGGGTTTCCCCATGAAGGCAAATCCTTCACACCCCAACTGCCCCGCAGCACGACGGAGACAAGGCCTGCGCGGGTGGCCAGGAGCCCAGAGCCCACCTGGGGCCCGAGCCACACGCTGGGGACCCTGCCCTCCCCACCAACCGGGTCGGGAAATTGCTCCATGAAGGGCCAGCCCCAGGACGCCCAGTTAGTTCTACAAAAGAAAGAACGCAAGCACAAGTGCTTAAGAAATTTTTATTCACAAACTATGTAAAAGTTACAACTAGCCAGTTTAAAACAGTGAAAAGTTAGGTTTTTAAAAGCTCTGTTAAAAATCTGTTAATAGGATAGAACCATGTGCTTGTTCCTTCCTAGGGCCATGAAATTAGAAAACCTGGGTCTCGACACAGTGAAGTCTGAGGAACAGGACAGGAACCAAGACCTGCCGTGATTCTGAGGGGGTGAGGAGGAGCTGGAGGCGGCGGCACGGCTCCGGAGAGGGGAGGAGCCTGGAGCGCCTGGCCGCGGCGGGAGGCCAGAGGCTTAGGGCGAGGCCCGGCGGTCCCGGGGGAGCCGGTGGGTCAGGGACCACTCCGCGCCCGCCAGCTGAGCCACAGGGCCGACGGCTGCCCATGCCTCGCCCCGCAGGGTGTCAGGTCTGTACACAGTACGGGTCATGGCTGTGAACTCCAGGCGTCCCTGCCTTTTAAACTAAACTTCAGGCTCTGGGAGAAAGACAGACGTGGAAGAACTGCCGTCTCACAAGGCACGGAGGACAGCGCGACGCTGCGGTGAAGACGGGCCGAGGCACACGGGTCTGCTCAGCCCCTCCCGGGAGGGGAGGGCTAAATATTCAGACAGGTGACAGCCGTCAGTGTAAGTCTTCAGACCTGTGTGACTGAGCAAAAGGCTAAAGGGTTCTTTCTCATCAGGTGAACTGGCAAGTGCAGGAAACAAAACAGAAAGAAGAAACCGTGTCTGGGCTGACGCATCGCTTCTCAGAGCTCAGCTGAAAAGGAGGGGGGCCCGAGGGCGGCGGAGGACCCTCCAGCCTCTCGAGTGCAGTGCTGGACACAACGAGCCCAAGGCGGCTGCGACTGCGGCAGACGGAGAGGCACCGAGGTCAAGGCCGCTATCTACACTCAAAGAGGAGAAAGACAGCTTTTTCATACACGTTTGCTTTATTTCCGCGTTCAGCCTGTTGAGAGAACCTGTCACAACCTGAATGGCAGGGGGTGCACCGCCCCGAGCGGCCCCCCTGCTGGCGGCCAGGGAGCCCAAGGGGCCCGCGCGGCTGTGCAGGCGCCGACCGCGGGAGGCAGGGCGCCGTCCGCAGTGCGAGACCCCGAGGGACAGTGCCGTCACGCCTCCGCTGCGGCGGGCGCCCGGGACTGAAAGGCACAGCGACGTGTGGAGATGGCAACTTCCAGGCGCGGCCTCGGTCCAGAGCAACAGAAGCACAGGCAGAAATTCAGGATGTGCAGGCTTTCTGCAAAAGGATGAGCTTGGTTCCAGCACAGCACACGGCGACACTGCAACAAGGAACACGGCTTACCCTCCGTCCTGAATGAGGGGCGGCGGCGGCCCTGACCCTGGGAGCAGCAGGTGGAGGGATGCTCCAGCCTGATGCCTGTGGACAGGGGCCACCTGGACAGGGTAGCCTCCACGCCCGCGCTCCCTGCCACAGGGCCACACGGCCAGACAGCCCTGCTCCCCCCACAGACACACGGTCAGCTCTGAGAGCAGCGCCCCAGGTCCTCTGTCACTGAAGTCCACGTTCAAGCCACAGCTGACAGGATTCTGGAGGCTCTTGTCCAGACCAAGCAGGGACTGACCGGACAGGTGCTGCGGCTGGGGCGGCCCCCCGTCTGACGGGCATCCCTGTCTCCTCCCAGCAAAGCCTCCCTTGGCCCTGTTTGTGCCCACAGTCAAGCCCTACTGGGTTTCAGAGGAACATCGCTCCCTAGACGTGGAGTTCAAGGCCCAGAGTGCGGACACCAGGGTCTCACCGGACTCCTCATGGCTCACAGGCAAGGATGTGGCTAACGCTGGATACAGGAAACTGGGCTTCACTCGCCACCTCCTCGCTTACCAAACAGGACGCCAACAGCTCCCCATCCCGTCTTACCACAGTGCTCTCGGATCACTCCTGATTTCCAAGGGGAATAATCTCTTCAGTGACAAAAAACTCGATGGTCTCCTCCTCCCAGTCGTCCACGTTGCTGTCCAGCTCGTCAGTGTCCACACCTGTGGGGGGTTCGCCGGTCACTCGTGTATGTGTGGGGCACAAATCTGTGGAAGAGGCCACCCCCACCCCACTCCCCACCACAGGCCAGTGTGAAAACCGCAAGGTCCCTGCAGAGGAAGGTCCATGGCCTTGACTTGCAGGCAGCAAGAAACTCAGTTCTGTCAGGAATCTTTTAAAGACTGTTTATGGTCCTTTTAAGAGGACTTCCCTGGGGGTCCAGTGCTTAGGACTCCCCCTCTGACCGCTGGAGCCCAGGGGCAATCCCTTGTCAGAATGCTAAGACGCCACAAGCTGCGGCCAAAATAAAAAAAGGTTCTCTTTAATTCAGGCAACACTTGCATGTTTTCCGAAAAATCTGGGAAAAGATCCAAAAGGGGAAAAATATTTTAACTATATGCTGTAAAAGGCGTGTCTTGGGCTAACAAAGTTACCTCCTCGTAATTCTAGCCGTGCATTTTTCTGCTCCATATAGAGCTCTTGAGCCATTTTCCGGTATTTCCGGAAATCTTCCATCATGGTTCGTCTTCTCTCCACTAATTCCTGTGTGCAAAATTGGGAAGAACTTACAGGACGAACACTTACCTCACACCATTGTCTTCACTTTGCTCAACCAAGTGGGAATGAAACATGGTCAGCGGTGCTCAGCCTGACGGACAGGATGGCGTAGGGCTCCACTAGACGTGGGGCGGGCGCACCGGCCGTGTCTGCTCGCCCTCAGCTTCCTCTAGCGGCCCCTCCGCCACGCCCTCCCGTGGACGGAAGCCAACCCTGGGGTC